CGTTGGCGTTGGCGTTGGCATTTGGATCCACCTTAAGAATAGTAACACAAGGGATCGGACAATGAGGAGGAGGAGCTGCCTCCTTGTTCCAGTCACTGGCTTCCCCGTCTTGCTCTCTTTCATGCAACAAAGAGAGGAAATAGAATGTAGCAACTAAAAAGGCTGGTGGGGACATTGTTTTATACAGTATAGGCGCCTTAGTGTCATTGTTAACAGAGGAGGCACCATGGTCTAGAGAGGGCCTGAGAAGCGCCTCCTCCTTCTTGTTGTGTAGAACAATGGAGTCTTCATTTTGTTGAAATCAGTCTTAATTTTGGTCGGCCTTTCTGTTGAGTCTTTTGAGAATCCTTCAATGGACGACTGGAAAGTTTTATTTGTGGGTTCCACTCTAAATCTAGAGTATTTAGGATGGGGTGCTTTGGCCGGTTCTAAATATGCTAAATCTAGAGTCACATTCTCTAAATTTTTGGTCTGTCAGGCTATCAAATCTAGAGATTTTAGAATACTACTACACATTTCATAGCAATTGAAACCTGTCTCAAAAAAGAGCAAAAAGTAATAATTTCAAGTTCTAAACTTCAATTTGAAGTTATGAACTTTTGCTCATACATCATCTACCAGGTTCTACTGAGGTAGGTTTTTTTAAATGACTGCTGAATGGCCAAATAGATTCCCGGGACCCTTTAAAACAAAAAAAATGGTTCTGAGGCGATTCAATCATGAATCCGGCCGTTCAATCATGAATGCCATCCAAAAACTAGCTCAGTAGAACCTCGTAGACTTTCTAGGGGGACATTTTCAAGTTCATTACTTCAAATTGAAGTTTAGAATTGAACTTGAAATTATTACTTTTTGCTCTTTTTCGAGACCGGTTTCAATTGTTACGAAACGCGTAGTAACGGGAATCACCCATTTTACGCGTAGTACGCACCGTGGGATGCACTTCGTTCGAAGGATTTGGATTTTGTCTTTTTTTTTTCCATTTCCTTTTCGACTTCAGTTATTGTTGGTACCATCGAACATTCACATCGAACGTCAAGGAATCGATTGATTAGACCTAATTGATCAGACTCGATATCTTACGTTTTCTGTCACTTTCGCAGTTCATGAATCCCGGCGTCTTCTACGAAACAAAAAATTGAGCAAACGTTTATGCCAGAGAATGCATGGACGCACTAGTGACATCGTGCTTTTAAACGTCGGAGGAACATTGTTCACTTCGTCAGTTTCGACACTCGTTAGCTCTTCCTCGTATTTTGAAAGTCGTCTATCCAAAGAATGGCAAGAACAGGATACCATCAGCGAAGAGCCGATAGTCATCGACCAAGACCCCAAAGTTTTTTCTATTCTACTTTCCTACATGCGACTGGGATATATAAATGCTGATGAGATCACAACACCAGTTTTGCTGCTAGCAAATTTCTTTGGGATTGAACAATTAATAAGGGCAGTCAAAGCCGAGGCAAGACGATCGAAGTTCGAGGGCCAAAATTTGGAGATATTTTACACGGCTCAAGCTGCTTTTTTGGTGACAGAAAACGATGTTAGGAAGGAATTTGCATCGGTGTCCATGTATAATCCGGATTTTTTGTCTTTCGTTGACTATCTTGGTCCCAATGACATGAACGAAGGTTTTCTTCCCGTTCCAGACTTCGTTGTTAGTGTTGAGATTCCGCGAGAGGATGGAACGGTGGAAAAAGTTCCTAATTGTGTCACCTTCATTGATGCCCTGAACTATTTGAACAAGTTGGGATATACTAGGTACGAGAAGGATATGATTGAAACAACGACACACTATACCGAAATCCAGGCTCGCCTTTGGTTCTCAAAGTTAATCTTGCATGATGTAGAAGATATGGAAGTTGATTCCAAAGAAGAATTCTTCGCACTGAATAAAACAATCATCAGGAGCCCCACTCGGGATAAGCAAAAAAGTTACCCTAGACAATTTTGTTGCGTGACTGAAAGTCATTGCGTCCGAGACCTCGACGAAGATGGGCGTTCCGTGCTTGAGGCACAGGTTGGAACAACAGAGACACGTCAAATACATCACCATAGCGATGAGTCCGTGGAATTCCAAATAAGCAACGTACAAGTACGAAGTTCTGTTCAGCAGAATATGAATTCGAGGATAAAACAATTCAATTGGCTCCAGAGGCAGGGATATATTCACAGCGAGGCCGAGATAGCCAAAGCGTACATAGTGGCAATCAAGTGTTTGAAAGCTAAATGGTTCCCGAACAAAATCGGCCCAGAAAAGGTTTCAATTTGGTCTCGACCATTGGACAAAAAAGACATTACTTAGGCAAATCATCTATTGTGTCACGGCAGCACTATGCTAGTATAGAAGCTGAATGAATCGACCTCGTCAGAAGGGCCCTTTTCTTAGTATGTTCAAGAATGGGCATAATGAAGATACTTGATACAAGTGGTACCGTTTGGCGGAAGTTCTTGCTGCATGGCAAGTGCTCTAATTAGTCATGCTACGCTATCTACTGTGCGATACTACGAGGTTCACGATAATTAGTGAACTTATCTACTCATCATCTACTCGTGAATTTCTTTTAGCCTCACTGTCCTATTGCAACACAAAATTTCTTCTACTTATCTTGGATAGGATCGACAATACAGTAACACTGCGTTCAGCGCCAATGCAAATTAGAGTCACCTAGCTCTACATAAAATGATCTTTTCAGGGCTGATCCCGGGTGATTTGCAACTTGAAGGTACTAAAGTTTTCCATACAGCACAAGAACCTCAGCCACAAAGAAAAACGCAGGGATCGTTCGATTCTAGCATAACAGGCAATAGTCGTAAACGAGAGTATTTTGCCCATAACATATATGGCCTCCTAGACGTCGTGGAACGAGAGGGCCTCCAAAGTATTCTTTCGTGGATGCCACATGGTTTGTCCTTCAGGACTAACAATCACACTAAGTTCGTGGAGTACATCATGCGAAGAATTCTTTCTGGAATGCATTTATACAAGTCCTTCCGAAGTTAGTTGAATCTATACGAATTGTACCAAAGGAGGAACAGTCTGGATAGAAACNAACGTCGGAGGAACATTGTTCACTTCGTCAGTTTCGACACTCGTTAGCTCTTCCTCGTATTTTGAAAGTCGTCTATCCAAAGAATGGCAAGAACAGGATACCATCAGCGAAGAGCCGATAGTCATCGACCAAGACCCCAAAGTYTTTTCTATTCTACTTTCCTACATGCGACTGGGATATATAAATGCTGATGAGATCACAACACCAGTTTTGCTGCTAGCAAAWTTCTTTGGGATTGAACAATTAWTAAGGGCAGTTAAAGCCGAGGCAAGACGATCGAAGTTCGAGGGCCAAAATTTGGAGATATTTTACACGGCTCAAGCTGCTTTTTTGGTGACAGAAAACGATGTTAGGAAGGAATTTGCATCGGTGTCCATGTATAATCCGGATTTTTTGTCTTTCGTTGACTATCTTGGTCCCAATGACATGAACGAAGGTTTTCTTCCCGTTCCAGACTTCGTTGTTAGTGTTGAGRTTCCGCGAGAGGATGGAACGGTGGAAAAAGTTCCTAATTGTGTCACCTTCATTGATGCCCTGAACTATTTGAACAAGTTGGGATATACTAGGTACGAGAAGGATATGMTYGAAACAACGAMACAMYWTWCCKAMATCCAGGCTCGCCTTTGGTTCTCAAAGTTAATCTTGCATGATGTAGAAGATATGGAAGTTGATTCCAAAGAAGAWTTCTTCGCAMTGAATAAAACAATCATCARGAGCSMCACTCGGGAKAAGCRAAAAAGTTACCCTAGACAATTTTGTTGCGTGAYTGAAARTYATKSC